TGTTTGTATACATTACAAGGTTTTGTTTTTTAATTTATGCTCGCCAATAAACACATATCCTTTTAGTTTGGACATTTTTACTCTTTGTTTTGATTTCGCTTCGCCATCATTTGCCTTGGTTTTGTTAACCCCTACCCAATTTGTCTCAGACAGCAAATATTACTGACTACATTTCCACTTGCATATACTTGCTTCTGTTTTTATATTTATTTTTTACATACATACATACATATGTACATATCCACTCATATTTGTTGAATGTGAATGCTCGGAAACAATTTAATGATAGCAAATGTTGCACATAATAATTTACATTGTTGATGGCTCGTTACTTCCTACTGAGGGTAAACTTGCCGAATCTGACTCCAATTCAAGAGAGCCTGCTATCTAAGAGAAAGTCAGTGCTCACTTTTACAAACAACACAACCCGCACGGGGTAATAGTAGTTAGCTAGGTTAACGGTTAACAAGGAGCATATTAACGAGAATTGTGTTTATAACTTCTCGTACGCTTGAACTTTATATGTACATACAAGTACATATATGAGTGTATATGTACATACACACATATACCCTTACATCTTTACATACAAATGTAAAATAGATTTACATGAGTAACACAAACAGGTGAGCTTGGTTAATGCCAAATTAATTTTAACATCGTGAAAAGCTAATGGGCTCGAGTATTAAGTTTCTAAAAACACAGTAGATAGAGCATACAGCACGCTTCACTTGAATAGGTACATTTCATTGGTTCAAGAAACGAGTTTAGATATTTCTTGACTTTTACATACATACAAAGTATTCGTACTATGTTCGACAGATGCACAAAACCGTCAGCAAAAAAATGCCAACAAATTAACGGTAAGTCTTAGCTACTTCAAACTAATACTTAATTGCACTATCATTTAACGGGCTACAAAACTGAATAGCTAGCATTTTTTGGAAAAAAATTCTGAATAAAAAGTTTGAAAATTTTATGAAAATTTCCTTACAGTGAACTATACTTTTATAAGAAAAATTATAAGCATTAAATAAACAAACAAAAAATAGCTAAAATTTGTTAAAATGTCGCGTCGCTATTTGTGCCCCCTGGATCCTGGCCTTTTTATGGTCTCCAAAATCCCGGGATTTTCGGGATTTGTAATTTGCACTGATGGCAATAATAGAGACTCCTTTTCTTGACCAGTATTGGCTATATTTCTTTTTTTATTTAATAATTGATATTTTTTATAAATGTCCAGCTCATTATACATATAACACCGCGCAATGGTAAATTATAAACACAAACATCAATATATTCGCGAAACCATGGGCTTAATATAGTAAAATTTCGTTTTTAGTTTTTCACTCTGGCGTCAGTAATTCAAAAATGTGCTTAGAAAAAAGTATGGATATCAAATTAAAGAAGAAATCCTGTAGAATTTAAGTAGATTCAAGTTCTTGGTGTAGAGGGACAGGTAAGTATTGAAAATGTCCTTTTAAAATTTTATCCTTTAAAATTCGCAATATTTGTTTTTGAAAAAATTATATGTTAAGCACTTATATAAACTCGATCTCGTCCTTCTAACTTTATCAGCTTAAAAATTACCTATCCGTCCTTATGAATGCAAAAAACTTATTTTTTTTTAATTCTAAAGAAATTTCCGCTTTCACTTGGTGCCCATATTTCTAAATTGCATTGAATTTTTTAAATAATTTTTGGAATTAATCGTATCTGGAAATTACAAAGTCCTTAAGATTAAATCCTGATGTCAGAGAGAAAAAATAAAAACGCCACACTAAATAAGGAAGTAGGTTTCAAACCCATTTATTTATTATTTATTTTATGGTAGGAGAGCTTGAAAATTTTTGAAAATGGATTAAAATAACAACCACTTCCCATATGGTAGTAATTTTAAGGTATACGAAAAATCCTATGCTTAGGGTGGTCCTTAAAATATCAACATCATGGAGCGCTTCTTTATTTTCTTCTACGTACAAACTAAAGACATCTATGAAAATTTGACAATTAAAAAAAAAAATTAAAGGTCGTTATCAGAGCTTGAATTTTCTTTATATAAAACCATATACTTAAAAGCATAGTGGGCAGTGGGCCAATTTAACGCACCAGCACACTTCGTAGTAAAATGTACATATTACATACATACATATTTCAAGTAATTGAGGCTTTGTTGCTTATACTCCTAGTCAAATTACCGCACTCAGCCTTGTAGCAGCAAAGGTCTTAAAAACATTATTGCTCTCTCGTACGCAGCGCTGCTGTATCAACACACACACATCTAACGCATTACAACTAAAATATCCTTGACTACATTTTCTGCTTAACTTGATACCAAAACCAAGTGCGTGAATAAAGGAAAAGGACAATGAGTGAAGAGCAGCTAAAACGAGCCAATAAAAAATAAAAATAAAATTCTTTACTTTTACTTCAGATTAAATTTTTTAGAGTCTTTTATGTTACAATACGAAATAATTTTTTTGTTAAACGCTCGAATATGCTGCAGCTTGTGCCGTAGCCGTATGTGTCTGACGACAAAAACGCGCCATTTGCCTAGATTTGAAGGACGCAAAGCGATGGGTTTTATAGCCAATTGCCGTGCAGATCATTTCAACTTGTTGCAAATGACCTTAAACTGAGCTGTTTACGAACGTGGTTACACGCTACTCAAAACAAAAAAAAAAAAAACAAAAAACACAAAACAACAAGCGTGAAAATCGCCCACCTAACGGAGAACGGTTAGTGGCAAAATTGATTATTTACTTAAACGTCAAGGTAGCCGGCACAGCTGTTTTTCCATGTGAGTGAAGCATTTTTCGCACGCGTCAAGGTGCCGGCCAATCGTGAAACCCCGAACACCAACCAGGCTTAAGGACGCTACCGGGTAGTGGTGGTGTAAAGACGCTGGTGTACACAAAACAACCGCCAACACCTCGCCATTGGCCCTTCAATGCGCTACAAACGCATGGGAAAATGCGCGCCAAATCAAAGGACTCTCGGACACTTGTTTACCCTCACACACTCTTCTTGCTCTCTTAGTTACATTATAAGCTCGCTCTTTATTGTAGTTACTCGTAATGTACTGAATTGGATGTAAAGCAAACTCGGTTTCTGTTTTTCTCTACTTCTGCGTCTCCTTCCATTTGCAGGCACTTGTTGTATTCGAAGCGAGATACACATCGCCCGACGATGCTGCTGGCAATTTTGAGCCGACCAATCTGGTGCGACCCATACAGGAGCAGCACAATATTAGCTGCAGCAGCCAAAGTTTGGACGATGATCAACAGATGCTTCTCGACATCGAACAGAACATAGCGAATCTGGAGCGTAGTCTGAATCGAGGTAAAGTGATTGTTCAAAAATTTAATTTTTAACTATTGAGAAGTGAAAAAAATTACACAACAGTGATTCGGAAAAAAATGTTAATTTTTTTAAGAAAATAAAAGTATGTAAAAACCCCATTGGCACAAGAAGGGGTGAAGCGTTCATTAGGAGCTGAAATGTTAAGTGCTTAAAGTTTTTTTAAGTTTCAAAATTATGTAGTGATAAGCGCAGTGGGAGTTGGCAAAATATGCCATTGGCTTTTGTACGCAACTTCGAAATACAGAAAAAGTTAATAGTGAAACGCTGCTAGTGAAACGTCGGCGCGCTGCTAGAAAAAGATGTTAAGAGTAAAGTTGCAAATGGAATTACTTTGCATGGCACTATTCAGTGTGCTAGCAACTTGAAAAGAAGTTAAAAAAAAATAATAAGTTTACGGCGCGGTATTATAATGTTTCGAATGCGCGAAAGAAAATTGAAGGGTTTGACAAGGAAAATATAATAAAACTGAAGTGTATAAAATTTTGTGGAATGAAAGAATGAAAGAAAAGGCTAAAAAGAAGTGGACTTGAACAATGATTAAATTAAGGTATAATAAAAAGTGTTACGAGCACGTAAATCTAAGAAATTCAATATAAGACTCAAGCACAAGAAATAAGTAGCCTAAAAATATGCATTTTTTTCAAAAATGTTCAGCCCGCTTAGGAAAAATACTACTAGACTGCTTAGAAAAAATACTACTACTAGGGACTAGTCAAACACACTGGCTACAACGTGCTATCGACTTATGAGGAATATATCAGGGGTCATAAGTAATAACCGCCTAAGTCAATTTAAGAAAGAATTGAAAAAAGTTAAAAAGTTATTGCCGAGCATACTATTTTGGTTTCCCCATCAGGATAACATTACAGTCCAAAGGTTTAAAACGTTTTTTTTCTCGAATTCAGGTTTTTCGACGATTCAACGATTCGGCGATTATTGCTTATGAAAACAGATATTTACATATATATAGCTGCCTGTCAAGTTTAAATTGTGAATTTTAAAAAAATTTCCTATATTTGAATGATTGCCAAACACACAGCTGAAATGTAAAAGTGAAATTTAAATACTGAATAATGCAGCATGCTTTCAGGCAGTAGGCATGGAAAAACGAAAGTAGTACGCTTCAGTAACACGAAGATGCATAATTGATGAATATATAAATAAAATTGTTATAAAGTAATGTTTTTGTGAAACAACAAAAACCAAATGGGGTGTAGTGTGATAAAAATTATGCAAATTTGAAGGATAAATACACGAACTTTAAAGAGGTGGCTGGAAAATTCGCAATGAACATTCGTAGGTTGTTGGCTACGTAATTAGAATTTAAAGTAACTGGTATTCAAGTAAGGTGGTTTAAATTGTACTTTTTCTAACTATAAATGAGTGGGATCTCAAAGTAAACCGAAAAATTTAATTGTGAATAATAAACATAATTTGTCAAATAAGAGTCTATTCCTAGGAGCTTAGTGCCAATCGGTCTATGCAGCTGGCGAACTATGCCAGCATATTTCAGGCTGAAGTCCTGGACATATGTGAGGCCTTAAGTTACTAAATAATAGTGCTAATAGAACAGTAAAATCTCTGATTCACGGAGACAGCCAGGCGGCGCTGCTAGCAATATCATCTCCTTATACCAAGTTATATTAGTCAAAGAATGCCAGATGGAACTACGCTCGTCGTCTCAGTCAATGTCTATCTCTCTTGTCTGGGTTCCCGGCCATGGGAATATAGAAGGCATTATTTAATTTTCTATGTGAATACTCCGAGAAGACTTCCACTTCTCATATAACACTTTTGGGAAACAAATAATGAAGCAGTTATGGATTTAACTAGTGCTACACAAAGCGATATGTAAAAATTTATAAGCGGTTCAAAGTGGTTTGTTTAAACAGCACAAAAGTTTGACAGGTAGTTTACGGTAGAATAAAATTGTCTTCCATAACAGCAGCAAAATGGCGCTATTATACGCTAATTGAATGCTGAGTAAAACTTTGATAAAATAAATAATGGCGTAGTTTGCTTCTTTCTTCGTCGTGGATCGTGTCTCTGATAAGAAGAGGAGCATAGTTAAAAGAATTTGGTTCCAAAATATCCAGACCGCTTTGGCAGTGAGTGGACTAAATATGTATAATATTTCTTAGTAAACCTACATAAATTGACGGGGAATCAAAGTGGTGGCTTATACAGACTATGTAGCTATACTCATATTGGGTATATTTCTTTTTGCGAATTTATAGAGATCTAGTGCAGATAGATATTTTTATTGAAAATTCAGCTGACTTTAGAGTGCAGAAATAAGTTCGGGTAAAATGCCATTCCAGACATCCTCCCGCCTGCTATAAGGAATTGGAGTAAATAAAATTGCGGCACAAAATTGCAATGGCTTTACTCGACGTTTGGAGGGTATAGTCGTCTTCAGGTGGAATTATAGAATACCAGCTGCGTCTAACAACATGCAAGATCTAGTAACATGTCCCTCATACTGCCAGAGATTTGCCTGATAACACATTACATCTGCATACTTTTTCATGTTGGACACTTTTAGGCGAACCTGCTTTGTTATAGAAGTTTTTGGCGATTTTCAAACTCCCACTACAGGGTTCAAATCATTGCAACCAATCAATCTCAGCATTTAAAATTTTCGACATTTTAGATGTCAACAGCACTAGCAGTGTGTCACTTTTTATATTTTCTGCCTAAATATATGCTTTCAATCAAAAAGTAGCAAAGACAATATCGATCAAGAAAATAGAGGGGCAGATACTTTAAAATTAAATAAAAACCACAGCTTAAAATAATATAAGTTTACTTAGTACTTAGGATCTCAAAGTTTGTCGAGTGAAAGAAAATAAAAAATATCGGCTGAGAGTTTGCATTTCTTCTGAAGCTTATTTGACAAAAATGTGCTGCCAGTTTCCGCTAGAAAAGCCTTACAGAGTTGCAACACACAATGCGGAAACTAAGACCTAAAGCAATTCTAAAACTGAAAAAGGTTTAAACAAGTGCCATGTAACGGTTAATTAACACCCAAAACTTTAGAAAATGCAAAAAGGAAATTCTTTTTGTAGATAATTTTAATGTCCCCTCCTACGTCCAAATCTCAGTACACCTCTCGCTTCCCCACAGAATCGGGTGGTGGCGCCGCATCCAGTGGCAGTGAATCGCATGGCACGCAAAAGAAACGCCATTTGCTGCGGCGCGTTATGACCGCCGCGCAACACAGTACAACCAGCGTTTCGTCAAGCCGCCAACGAATCGAATTAAAATTTGACAAATTTGGCAAATCACCTACAACTGGTCGCAGCGGCAGTGTCACCACTCTACTCAGCACCACACCCAATGCAAATGCCACCACCACCATCACATCAACAACAGCGGGTGGCAGTAGTAGCGCCAGCGCACTTGCCGCTGCCATGCGCCGCAGTGAAAGTCCACAGCCCAAGGAGAAGAAGCTTACCATGCGTACGGTGCGCAACATAATGCGTCTAGGGCGCGGCAGGCAGACGTCACAGTCACGCGACAGCAGCACCGAGGATGAAGGCAGGTAAGTAGCGTTATTAAAAATTAGGATTTACCTTCATATTTCGCCGCAAGCAAATGACAAAAAGACACCCTGCGGGAAATGTATCTCACTATAAGTTAACTTGTATCTATCTGTATATTTGCTTTGAACAAAGCTAACTATATTTGTATGGCGTTGGCCGCGAAATAGTCAAGAGTGGTTACCTCTGCAACTGCAACTGTCAACTGGCTTGAAACTAACTAACGGGTGATTTTTTAAGAGCTTGATAACTTTTTTTTTAAAAAAAACGCATAAAATTTGCAAAATCTCATCGGTTCTTTATTTGAAACGTTAGATTGGTCCATGACATTTACTTTTTGAAGATAATTTCATTTAAATGTTGACCGCGGCTGCGTCTTAGGTGGTCCATTCGGAAAGTCCAATTTTGGGCAACTTTTTCGAGCATTTCGGCCGGAATAGCCCGAATTTCTTCGGAAATGTTGTCTTCCAAAGCTGGAATAGTTGCTGGCTTATTTCTGTAGACTTTAGACTTGACGTAGCCCCACAAAAAATAGTCTAAAGGCGTCAAATCGCATGATCTTGGTGGCCAACTTACCGGTCCATTTCTTGAGATGAATTGTTCTCCGAAGTTTTCCCTCAAAATGGCCATAGAATCGCGAGCTGTGTGGCATGTAGCGCCATCTTGTTGAAACCACATGTCAACCAAGTTCAGTTCTTCCATTTTTGGCAACAAAAAGTTTGTTAGCATCGAACGATAGCGATCGCCATTCACCGTAACGTTGCGTCCAACAGCATCTTTGAAAAAATACGGTCCAATGATTCCACCAGCGTACAAACCACACCAAACAGTGCATTTTTCGGGATGCATGGGCAGTTCTTGAACGGCTTCTGGTTGCTCTTCACTCCAAATGCGGCAATTTTGCTTATTTACGAAGCCATTCAACCAGAAATGAGCCTCATCGCTGAACAAAATTTGTCGATAAAAAAGCGGATTTTCTGCCAACTTTTCTAGGGCCCATTCACTGAACACTGATTTTGGTAATAAAATTCAATGATTTGCAAGCGTTGCTCGTTAGTAAGTCTATTCATGATGAAATTTCAAAGCATACTGAGCATCTTTCTCTTTGACACCATGTCTGAAATCCCACGTGATCTGTCAAATACTAATGCATGAAAATCCTAACCTCAAAAAAATCACCCGTTACTTTTGGACATAAAATATAAATTAAAATCATATTTTTTTTTTGTTTTTTTTTTACTTTTTTTTATTTATTTACTTTATTTTATTACATTTGGTATATGTTTTGGTATATATTCCGTTGTAGGTGGTCCCATATTCGAACTCCGTAAGACATGGCTTCAAAATGATAATATAAAATGTCGATCTTCCTTTTATTTTTCCTCAATTCGAAAAAGTATTTGTGAAATGCAGAAAGAAGATGTATTCAAAGTAAAATTTTTATAAGGATATTTAAATAGAAACTTGTTCAAAGAAAACACTCTCCCGATTACGTCTGCTTTACTCCTGCATTACTTTTCAACTAGCTTCAAGTTAGCTTTTCGTAGCTAACTACAAGTTATATATCTTATAGAAATCCCGCAAAAAAGCTAACTTCAAGTTGGTTATTTTTTCCAATTGATAATTTTTTTCTGCAGGGCAGACGTACTTTCTTGTACAGGCTTATGTATGTACAAATGTAGTATATGCACATAGTACATAGTATATACAGTGGCGGTCAAAAATGGTTGATTGGTGTTTAGTTTTTAATATTTACAATGTTTTTCAAGCTATAATTTTTTTAATGCTTTTTTTATAAAAATATGGTTCATGCTTTAACAAAAACTGTATGAATCATACTTTCAAACTTTATACAGAATTTAGAAAAATTTCAAAATTTTTTTCCAAATTTCGATATTTTTACCCAGAATTTTTAGAAATTGTGAATTTTTAGAATGTGTGAAATAAGTGCAGTTTTTGGAGCGGCTGTAAAATCGCATTGATTTTTAATATTTTTTTCCTACGGCTTTTGAGGGTTTTTTCATATAAATAGCGAAATTTAGTAACACTGGCGTTGATTTTTTGCCTCAAACGGTCCTGCGCATATTCTTTCACAAGAAATTCATGTTGATGTCGAAAAAAGTGCAAAACGCCGCCAACAAAAAAAAAAAATATTAAAAATCAATGCGATTTTTTTAGCCACTCAAAACTTGCACTTGTTTTACTAGAATTTTATAAGCTTGTTAACTGCGTACACAAAAAATTTCTAAAAATTCTGGTTAAAAAACTCGAAAATTAAAAATATATTTGTGGAATTTTTCTATTTTCTGCATAAAATTTGAAGGTATGATTTATATAGTTTTTGTGAAAGCATAAACCATATTTTTATGAAAAAATATCACACAAATTTTTGCTTGAAAAGCATTGTAAATATTAAAAACGAAACACCATTCATTCATTTTTGACCGTCACTGTATGTATATCAAGGTCTTACCCACTGCTGTAAGTCAAATATGAAATTTCAGCAGCATTTGGGGAATAGCACCTAACAAAATTAGGGGAAAATATGTCAAACTCTAGGAAAATATTTTATTGGAAATTGTTGTTTTTTTGCACACAACTCGGGGATCGTACCTTTTCCAAGTAGAAAACAAGCATACGCAACAAGTGACTAACTTGTGTATGTACATATGTATGTGTATTCGTGACTTGCGATTTTTTGCACTCTATTCGAACAGAAAATGGTACTAAAAGTCCTTTCGGTTTTGCAAAATATCCATTGACCACTTGTTGACACTTTACGCATCCAATATGCATAAAACCATATTTGCGTACATACATACATACATATATACAAGAGTCAATGAATGTCAATGAAAGAAAACAACGAAATTTGGTATTTTATAGCATTTCAAATTTAACAAGAGCACAGCAGGTACATATTTTAGTAATTTTTTACA